CAGACTTGCTATAGTTAAAGCATTACCACCATTCCATGTTGGCCTGGGGGAAGGATTTCCCACTAAGAAATTTTACTTGTATAATAGGGGATAAAAATAAGGGTGATTTTGTGACTAAATCCCATGACCCATATAATTTAATATATTGTTTAACATTGTTAAAAGTACAATTTATGTCATCTCTTAGGAAGAGTAAAACTAATTAGTATTCAATTTTCTCAGTACTTGTAATTTTGATGGCTTTTTTCAAAAATGTTTCAAAAGTAGTATTAATAAAAATTTTTAAAGTTGATACTCAAATCTCATTTTTTTGGCCAATAGTTAAAACTCCATATATTGTATAAAAATACAGCTATATTTAGGCTAAATTTTATGTGGTTTTAATGATTATTCAATCAAAATATAATCATATCTTTCATTCCTTTAACCCTTCCCACATAACCTCTCCCTCCACTTCACTTCCTGTCAAATCCATTGTCACTTAGTCTTCATATAAGTTCTGAATCCACTTAATGTTTGTTTGTTTATTTTTAGGGCTGATCATTTGGAATCAGATAACAATTAAGGGACTCATCCTCAAGAAAAACTAATTCGCCCTCTCTGTATAGTTTCTAATCATCTGTAACTTTTTAGAGATGGGATACTATGCTGGCATGTCAACTGGTGTTATCATTGTCCAGGGATTGGTGTTATCATTAATACGGTCTTGTTTTAGCAGTAATATTGTTGAGATTGCATGAGTGAACCTTTCCTATCATAGCTAGAAAACATGATCTTTTCAGCAGACTTTCCTGATCACCTTGCTTTTGCGATCTTTTCTCCCTTTTTTTTCATAGTCCCTAGATATAAGAGTTGTATTGTAAACTTAGCAACTGTTTCAGGGCACCCCAGTCTGTCATTCATTGCATGTTGACCATTTGTAGCTTTCTGCCATATTCTCTACTGCTAAAGAAGGTGTTTTGATGAGAGGGGAGAGCAACACACTTACTTATCTGATGGTATATGATAAGTATTTTGTAATTAAGACTCCTCTTGAGATCTGTGACCTCACTAGCCACAGGTAGTGGTACATTTACATGACCAGACATGATCTCCCTTCTGCTAAAGAGACTTTAAGTTCACAAATGAGAGAGAAGATGTAGAGTTTGTCTTTCTAGGTATGTTTCCTCACTTTATATATTTTCCAGTTCCATCCACTAACTGACAAACTTTATGATTTCCTTTTTCTTTATAGGGTCTATCTATCTGAACTATGTTCTCATTGCCCATTTGTCAGAGGGAGAGCATTTAGAGTTTGTTCACTTTCTAGTTATTTTGAATACCATGGCTATGAACATAACTATGCACATATATGTGGAGAAAGACATCAGTTCTTTGGGCAAATGCCAAGGAGTTGTATATCTGGGTCATATGATAAACTCATATTTAGCTTTTTGAGAGATTTCTGTTGGGAGATACAGACCCTCAGACCCTGAACTTTCTATGACCTCTTGCCTGCTGGAGTAAACAACTTGTTTTCCTATGTTTGCAGCTGCTCTGAGCATGGAACCCTCATGAGTTTCTGATACCAAGGAAGTGGTTTCTGGTGGGCTTGCAGTGGAAAATCCCAGAGCTAGGGCTTGACCATTAGTCAAAGATAGCACTATATAAGCTGTCTGGAAACATAATAAAATTGGCACTCTTGCTTCAAGAGTGACCCATGTCTCTGTGTGTTCTTTAATCCCCAGTCCCTCACACAATCGTGGTTCCAGGTGGTACAGGCGCCACAGATCTCCACACTGATTTGCTGAGTGACTGAACCAGTCTGTAATCCCACCAACAATAAATGAGGGTTCCTCTTTCCCCACATTCTCACCAGGGTTTTTTGTCACTTATTTTGTTGATTTTAACCATTCTGATTGGGGTGAGGTGAAAACTCAGAGTTGTTTTAAATTTCATTTCCCTGATTGATAAGGATGATAAGCACTTTGAGATATTTCTCATTCTTTTTATTTCTTCTAGTTGGAATTCTCTTTTTAGATCCATAGCCCATTTTTAAATGTGTCTTTATTTTATTTTAACTCTTTGGTTTTGTATTTATTTATCCAGGTATTAATCATCTGTCAGATGTATAGCTGGCAAAGATTCTCTCCCATTCTGTGGACTACTCAGCCTGGGTGCTAGGAACTGAACTCGTGACCTTTGGAAGAACAGCAAATGATCTTAACTACTAAACCATCTCTCCAGTCCCAATGATTTTTAATTTTTTGAGTCCACTTGCCTGGGCCTCAGGATGCAGTGATTTATTTGGCCAAGCATCAGCCAAGATGCTGCTGTGGTGGTATTGTTAACCTAAGATTAGCATTTGAATCAGTATACTTTGAGTAAAGCAGATTATCTTCCATAGAATAGGTGCCATCATGGAATCAATTGAAGGTCTTAAGGGAAAATAGACTGAAATCCTCTAACACAGGAAACTCTCCCCCCCCCATTCTAAAGCTAAAAGATGGCATGAATCATTTCCTCTTGCTCTCTCTCTCTCTCTCTCTCTCTCTCTCTCTCTCTCTCTCTCTCTCTCTCTCTCTCTCTCTCTCTCTCTCTCTGTATATCATTTATTATACATATGTAGATACATATGTTATGTAAAGTATTATTTTTGGAGACAGAAGAGTTTATGTTATCTTTAGTTAAGGATTCTCTAGAGCACACGGTAGTGGTTTTGTGTATTAGTCTAGGTCATCCTATACTAACCATTTACTACACAAGCTCCGACCCCACTCTACAAGGAAAGTCTACAGAAGGAGTCCAGTGTCTGATATACCACTCTCCATTTCATATCCCTCTCACCTCAATTTCCAGGATAGGCTTAGTCACAGTTCTTCTAAGTCCCACATCATTGCCTGGTGTCTACATCAATATTTCTGAAACTTACCCACAATAATTACCTTCAGCTTTGATTTTGTCTTTTAACTTCTTTCCCACACCTTCAAGAGATCCTACTTTGAGGTTCTTAAACTATTGGAGAGAATCACATCTTTGGGATCATGCTGTCACTGACCTGGCATTCTTCTGGTAGGCCCCTCTTCCTAAGTATTTCACTACTCTCCAAGGGCACCACAGCACTGTCAGCTATCAACCAAGACTTCTCATACCAGAGCCTTTGGCACCTGAAACAGCCAAATCATAACAATGGTCTGTGTGGTGAAGTTATTCTGTGCTCCTGTCTAGCCAGGAATAGATTCTAGGACACAGTCTTTCCTGGGCTGTATGACCTCTTTGGTGTGTTTACCAAAAAAGTCTTTCTTTTTCTGCAGTGTTGTATAGTTATTTCATATGAACTGAAATGTTCTTGGAGGGATGGAGGCTCATTAAGACTCAGGAAATAAATGAAATCACAAGTCTTACAAAGCTCCTGAAACTTACAAAATTCACAAGTTCACAAGACCCCTCTCCATTTTTATATAAACACTGACAATTGCTGGGAAACAAGGCTTTCTGACTAGCCAAGCTGCCTCAGTGTCAGGGAGAAAGGTCCAGGGATAAAGTGTTCATGAGCTGTCACCCATCCTGAGATGGGCTTTTATGGTGATATAGATGCCTTTGTGTAAGTAATGGTCATAAATGAACCTTTCCACCCAAATAAGTAATCCCTAACAAACTCACCGGTTCACTAAGCTAGGTATGGGTAGAATTATTCCCTTGCTTTGTCATCAGTGCCTTTTCTGGTGTGAATAGATAGGTATTTGTCCCAGTCCCCTGAGGAAAAACCACATAACACACATCCATCATAATAGTTCAGACCTTCATGTATCATACCATTGCATTGTGATGCCTATCATTTGGTTATTGTTCTGTGGTGTCTTTGGTAGAAAATACAAAAGCTCTTTCTAAGATGAAAACACCCAACTGATATCTTTTGTTCTTCTGAGAATTATATTTACAGAATTGCTGTTATTTAAATCATAATAAATGTATTATATAGTTTAACCAGTAGGGTTTGGCCAGAAATGGCAGTGCTTAGAACAGGTGACTATGAGTACTCAGCCCAAACAAGACATCTGCATCATAGCCTTGCAAGGGTCAGGAAGAGGGGCAGAAAGGGTTAAAGCAGAAGCTTGAGTATGGGGGCTGTGAAACACGTCTCCTGGAGTCACGCCCTCAGGAAGTCTCTGCTGTCATGGCTACTGCACAAAGTCAGGTCCATCAACACATAAACATTTTATCACAGGTGTAGAAGAAGCTCAGAAGACTCTTCCCAAGGAACTGTAGCAGAAACAGTAAGCAGGGCACTGGAGGCCACCTTCTTCTCCCTCCCTGTGCTCCAGGAAACAGTCTCTCACCCACACTTCTTATGCCAGTAACCCTCATTTAAACTCAGTGGCTCACAAAGGAAAGATTGATGGAGGAGGAGGAATTATGGGAAAGAAGAAAGGTTTCCAAGGAAAAGAGAGGAGTATGAGAGACAACAGTGAGGGAGGATGAAAATGACCAAAATTCATTATGTACATGTAAATTGTCAAAGACTCTTTTTTAGGAAAAGGGAAAAATGTTTGCTGAATGAGAAAGCTCAGCCCCTCAGTTAACTAACTGACACAGGATATTCCGTCCTCAGAGTTTAAAGCACTGTGTCCATTTATTATGAGCAATGTAGAGGTCTGAACGAAAATTCACACTACTATATTTATGCATGCAGGAAATTTATATTTAAATGTCAATCTAACGTAGAAACTCATTCACAATCTCACTAATAAGAAAACTCAAAATATCCAGCCCTTCTCTAATTCAATCATGTTACTCATTACTCAAATGAGGTCTCAAAAATAAGAAATCCAGAAAACTGCTGGTGTAAATCTATCTTTTACCGTGACTGCTCTAGTCTGAGGTTCACTAGCTCACAGAGTCAGAAGATCTACCATCTGATAGACCTGCTTTGCAGACATACAAATGCTAAAATGCAAACTGTTGGCCCCTTGGGTCCTGTCCATTTTACCTATCTCTGAGGCTGCCACAAGGCCCTCTGTCTACGGAGAAACCAACTTGCCAGTAAATAAAATATTGCCAGACTTATCCTGAATAGTGAACAGGAAGGGAGAATTTGCTGTGAACTGAACTGTGACCGGGAGGCGCTTCACAGCGATACTCTCCCCAGTGGCCGCCGCTGCCTCAGTGCCTTCCTCGTTGACATCCACGTAGGACTTGTGAACAACCTTGGATAAATATAGGCCTTTGTCAGGTGACATTCCAGAGAGATCAGCTGTGGCCACGCTGAAGATGTCCCGCATCCCTAGGGATTTCAATAGGGAGTTTAGGTCATATTTTACTGCAAGATTGAATTTGGGAATGTGAACATCCACTTCTCTCTCCACCATGTTAGAAGAGTTGGTCCACTCTTGAAGCATCTTCACGTTCAGGTGTTTTTCTATCTAAGAGTCAAAATACAGACACATGAGCCAAAACATAGCTTCTGAGTAAAGCAGATGTTTCTGTAATTCACATTGAGAACTGTCCAGCTTCTTGCTGGCTTCTCAGCCTATAACACACGTCAGACCTTCCCTTCCTGTTGCCTATGTCTCCTCTATATTCCCTCACTGACTTTCTCAGTGCACATTTTTGATTTCCCTCAACAGTTAGCCTTTACCTAAGCCTCCCTGCTTATTGCCCTGGCATCATTCTGTGCCTGCTTCCTGAATCAATCCACCATTTCTTCTTGGCCCTCACATCTGAAATTTGGAGTCACATCTTTATGAACTTAGTTCTCATTTGGCTTCTAAGATGCCAGATCACTTTGTCCCACTCCTAATGGCTTCAATCTCCCTGGTGCCCTTTCCTCTTTCTGTTATGTTTCTCCAAGTTCAACATGATACATGCTCTCCTTAATGCCTTTGTACTTCTTTCTGACATATGTACTTGGTTTCCCAAATGGTCCCAGCTACTGACTTCTCATAATAGAATCAAGCTTCATTATTTTTGTCTGTCATTTAAATAATAACATTGGGTATTTAATGCCCTACAGAAAATCCTCTATAGCATTATATACTGTATCATTTTTATTGTTATCATGTTCCAAAGTTCAATACATTTTATTACCTTCCCATTCTCATAATACAAAATAAAGGTAGATTTTCTGTCAAAGTATCTTTCTATTATTTTCATTTGCTAGGTCTAATCCGAGTTATAATAAAAGCAAACAGATCTCAACTGCCTCATAGTTAGCACACTGACGTGTGCTCATATTCTCCCTGGATCAGGGTCTTCTCACTTTATCTGCCCATCTTCTATACATCTAGTGAAATTCACATGGAGAGAGTTCTCTAGGAACATCACCCCCAGCTTCTTCATTCTAATTCATAGCTTCCATAGTTTGCTCATGACTTTAAGAGAAGTTTAAACTGCTTCCAAATTGCTGACTTTAGCATCCTCTACCCCAGCTAACTGCAAGTTCCCTGGGTCTTAATCCCCTCTGAACTGGCCACACTTGTAAGCATATGTATTACTACAGTGCAGTTAGGCTTCTCCTATTCCAGCTCCCTCTGAACTGGCATCCATCTCACTCTCTAATCCAAATGCATATAGCCCAACCAGGCTCTTTCAGGAAACAACCGTGCCAACTGTTAGTCACTGGCTGACTTAGGAACTGACTGTGGCCACCCTGCTGTATGAATCAACTTCCCCAGTCCCAGAGCCATAGCTGTTCTCCTAAGAAACCTCATTTTATGCACTGTTCTGCAGTACTAGGTAGGTCGTGGCTAGGTTGGGGTAAGATGCCATCATCACTTCCAGGTCTCTCTGTGCTAAGAACCTTTGACTACAACCAGGGAAAGGAGACTGAATCCCAATTTCTGCCACTGCTATCTTTCTTCCCTGGCTGTGGTGTTATTTCCTTACCAAATCAGGTTGGAAAAAATAAATAAACGGTTATCCTGTGGTTAGACCAGAACACTTCCCCTTAGCAAGGCTTTAATAACTCTCTAGGGCCCAGGAATCTCATCAGCATGACAAATCATCATTGCAGAACGAGGTCCACTGTCTCATGAAGAATATGTACATACATTTATATTGTATAACGTGGTGAACCTATGTGACTTTTTCAATAAATGAAGTGCTTGTCTTGCCTAAATATAGTCCTAAAGGGCAAGAATCATCCTTAATCTACAACTCCTGGGGAAAGTCTACTAAGCCTAGTCATGAGCCCATGACTGTTCATACAGATATCACAGTACACACAGAGTATTGTGTAACAGTGTGCGTGCACACATACATGCACACACAAACAGCCACATGCATTCACTCACACATATGCGGGGTGCAGGTGGCACTGCTGGGCCTCTACCTGGTTTACATTCGCCGTGCCTACTGGAAGCAAGATGATCATTCTTAGATTGTTGTTGGCATAGGGCAGCTCAAGGACTTGCATCTGTGGTTCCTTTATGAAGGCCAGCTTAAACGTTCCAGTCTGGTACATCATGTCCACAACTGCACTTTTACCCTATTTTTAAAAAGATTGTGTTTAAGCAGTTAATATGTATGTCTACTTTATTTTTACAATAGGAATTTTTGTATTCTAAAGTGTAACTGTTAACTGCACTCTTTCATTACTTTCCTTTGCACAGGTTATCAATTTTGTAATCTTAAAATAAGTCAAAATTAGAGACTATAGAAGTATAATAATATAGGGATGATTGGGGTCTTTAATTAAAAACACAGAGTCTAGCTAAAATGACTTATGTTGGGAATCAAACGGGAGGCTCATTATCTCTTCTAAGCCATGTAGATACTGCCAGGGACAACAGCTTAGTTGTACAGGAAGCAACCATCATGTGAACCTCAAGGCTTCCAGGGTAGAACACTGGGAAGAGACAAGGTTTCCAGTTTTCAGGGAGTCTGTCCAGCCTCATGTCTAGTGAGAAAAGTTACTCACATTCTGAAAAGTAAAAGCCTTCAGCTAACTACAGCAATGTTTCCATGAAATTTTTCTGAATTGTGCTTAAATTATTGCAGTTTTCCAAGACTTGTCATCAGTTTGAAAATGAAATACTTACCACACTTATGTGAAAGGGAGCTTTTACTGTATCTCTTTTCTCGAATTTATTTTTCCATTGTCCCTTGAAATATATGGCACTCACTAGGACCATGACAGAGGAGGGATCAATTGTACCCTTTCCAAATAAGTTTGTGACTTTTCCTTGTAATAAAACAAATAAAAGAAAAGGTGATTTTATTTAGATTAACTTGCTGATAATAGGTATTTGCAAAAGTTGTTTTCTCAGACAATAACTTCTATAGTTTGTATTTAAAAGATCACACCCCACCCCAGGTGAACAAGATGGTTTAGCACAGTAGGTCTCAACCTAGGGGTCACAATCCCTTTGGGACTTGCAAATCAGATATCCTGGATGTCAGATATTTACATTTCAATTCATAACAGTAGCAAAATTGAAGTTATAAAGTTGTAACAAAATAATTGTATGGTTGGAGGTCACACATATGAGGAACTGTGTGTTAAAGGATCTCAGCATTAGGAAGGTGAGAACTGCCTTAGCAGGTGGAAGCACTTACTACTCAAGTCTCCCACTCTATCAAGAGAACTCATGGTAGACATGAATAAGTTGACTCCCAGTCATTCTCTGATCTCCACAAGAGCACCTTGGCACATGCATGATGCACGTGTGCATGCACGCGCACCCCCACCCCGACACACACACACAGACTTTTTAATTAAATTAAATTACCCATGGGTGTGGGAAAGTGTGTGTACATGTGTGAGTATGCCTGTGTGTATTCACATAGACGTCAGAGATCACTGACTGTCACTCCTTAGTTGGTCTCCTATTGGCCTGGAGCTCCCAGTTATTCTGCCTGTCTCAGCTCGCCAGCCAAAAGGTCACAGTAGGCAGCACCATACACAGCTTTTTCTACACAGGTTCTAGGCATCAGACTCGGGTTCTCATGCTAAGCAGCTCTTTATTGATAGGTTATCTCCCAGCCCTTCTTACTTTTTTACTTGTTTGCTCATTTTGTTGTGTTTATGATAGTGGGGAATTTTTATTTGACAGTTTCATGAATACATACAATGAATTTTTGTCTTTCTCACCTTATTATCCTTCTTCAACTCCTCCCTCTTTCACTGAAACAACTTTTGTTCCCAGTTAGTCTCTATTTTTTAGGCTTTGTGTAAGTGAACCACTGAATTTAAACAGGGTTGTTTGCATAACAGTCTCTGTAGCCCAGGGTGTGGTGGAGCTTACTGTTCAGACCGGGCTGTCCTAGAACTCAGTGTATGGAGCAGGCTGTTCTAGAACTCCGTGTAGACCAGGCTGGTCTGTAATTTGCCATCTATCAGGCTGTGCTGGACTTGCTTTGCAGACAAGGCTATCACAGACTTGCATTGTAGGTTGCCCTGCCTTTTCAGCAATATGCCAGGGTTATAGGTGTGCACCTCCATTCTGGGCCTCTTACCCTTGCAGTGTATGATAAGTAGTGCATTACAAATATAAAGACCACTTAAAGCAAAGGCATATTTGAAATCAGGAATTTGTTTGGAAGGTTCCAGAAGTTGTCTGCTTTGTGAAAATTCTGACAAGCTGCTTTGGTGCCTTTCAGTGTGATGAAACCTAGAAACTCCTTTTGGAATGTACCCTGCCATCTGACATGAAGCACAGATAGGCACAGCACCCAACTCTAATCCTAAAGAAGGTTTTAATTTTCATTATAATCCTGAGTCTACCCCATAACTAGCATGTGAAAACAATGAACATGCACAGATGCTTAAAATATGTTTCTGAATGAAGAAGTGAATTAATTTTAATAAAATCTGCTGAATTTATGACATCCCCTTAAAGCAGAAATGATTCACTTTCTCAGAGTCTTCTGCCATATATTGCTTAGGAGGAATGGTCACAAAATGTATTCCAAAGTATGTTTCTAGTTTTTTCATTGTTATCTATCTACCTGCATTTAGAATTCACACTAGTTAACTTCTGCTTCCTTGTTTGCATAGCAAGGTAAGACTTTTACCAAAGGAGCACAGATAAAGTTTGTACACATAAGATAGACATTAAAGTTTTGTGCACATACAGATACATATAAATGTTCACACGCAATTATCCTTACCATTAGTTTTATTCTCAACCCAAGTATTAATACTTCTCCTTGTCTCTTCTGTAGACAGTTCAAAATCAACAGTTTGCAACTTGGCTTGGAACAGTCTCTCAGAACATCTTAAATATTGCTGAAAAAGAAAGGACAGTTGAATGTCAGCACAGAAATAGTGCAGAGAGGTCTGGAAAGAAGGCCATGGAGTGAAATGTAGACGGAGACTGCACTTGCATTTCCTGAATAATCACACAGAAACTATACCAATTACATCATTGTTTGACCAATGGCTCAGGCATATTCCTGGCTCTGGCATCTGAAATTAACCAATTTCTATTAATTTATGTATTGCCATATAGCCGTGGCTTTACTTCATCTTCTACATGTCATGTTTCCTTGGCAGCTGGCTGGCATCTGCTTCACTCTGCCTTCTTTTTCTCTGTATCTTGGCTTGAATTTCCTGCCTTGCTTTATTCTACTAAACTATTGGCTGAAACAGCTTCCTTAACTAGCCAACAAAAGCAACATGTATATAGAGGGACATCTCACATCAGTGAAGCACTTGTTGTGCAAGTGTGAGGAGCAGAGTTGGCATCCCCAGACCCGTGCAAAAGCCAGGTGCCATGCACATGACTCCAGTTCTCCTACAATGAGAAAAAGAGCAGAGAAAAGGGAAATCCCCAGGATCTAGTGACGGGGTTATTCAACGTAAGCAGTGCTGAACAGGAAGAGACCCTCTTTTAGAAAAGATGACAAGAGAGAACAGATACCCAAAGCCATCCTCTGACTTCCACATACACACATGGCTCAGGTACTCACCCGGCTCAGGTACTCACCCCTACAGTTACACACAGCAATACATACACATGAGTACACACACACAAGAAAGATCTTTGTAGCTCAGAATGTTCTAAAGTCCTAACAAGGAGACAAAAGTCTGCTGATCTAATACACTTAAATGGAAGGATGTCCATATGCCCATGAGCACTTGTCTTTAAATCCAAAGATTTCCAAAAAAAGAAAGAAAGAAAGAAAGAAAGAAAGAAAGAAAGAAAGAAAGAAAGAAAAAAGAAAAATACCAGAAACATTTGAATGTTTTCTCATTATATCATGGATTTTTTATACGAATGCATCAAGTCAAAATGATGAATTACATATGAATAGCTCTTTTGCCTGTCCCTATGCTTTCCTGCTCAAGGTTAGAAGGTGAATTATATAGCGACTAAATGACCTCTTACCCCCAGAACAACTGAAAACCACCTCCCTAAACTAACATTTATCTATGTTGTGTCTCTGTCACTGTTTGGGAGAGGCAAAGAGGAAGAAAATTACCAGCTCAAAAGCGATAGCCCTTGACTTCCATTGTCTCAGAGACTCAACATAACACATTTTTGTGAGCTTTTGTGACAGTAGAAGGAAGACTCCATAGTGTCAAATCGCTTCCATCACCTCAGGTGCAAAGGTTCTATTAGAGCTGTGTGACTCCCCTAAGACAGCTTAAGAAACCAAACTGGAAAGACAAACAAATATTTGAAGCTTCCTTTCAATACTTCAGTAATCTTGATCAGATGGAGATGAACCAAGGACACCAGTATTTCATGTTGGTCATAGCAGGAAGAAGGCTTGAGTTTAGATAAGGATCAAATCTAAATCTTATTATCTCAAACATTTGCCAACTGAAATTTTCAGAATCTGCTTTGTAGTCTCTAGAATTATTGGAAGATTTATATCTTTGTCATAGCACAAAGAAATGAAACAAAACCTGTAATGAGTTCAAGAGTGACTTTCCTTGGGGATTATTAAGTAAACACTCAATGAAGCTACACGCTAAATGGCTGAAACCCACCTCCAGTTGTGGAACTAGAAAAAAAATTCTCTTATTTTAAAGACAGAAGTCATATGTATAAATGGAAAGAAAACTCACATTTTTGGCTCCTAGTTGAATACCTCTTGATAGTCTACCATCAAGTGCCTTTGTAAAGACGAGAAATGGCTCTCTCTTTTCCTCCCATCTATAAAGGGCAATTCTTACAAATGACTTCATTTTTGTGTTAAGTCTCAGACCCTAGTTTTTGCAGAGTTTTGTGGATTTTGCAGAGAAGGGGTTTTCGTGTGATACTGCAGAACTCTAAATTCTGATAAAGCCATTTCGCAGAAACCCTAGGCTCAAAGTCAACATTGTAAAAAGCACCCACCATAAGTTCTTCTCAGTCTCCCTTGTCTTTACACTATGAAATTCAGAGGCCCCGGGCATGCTTACCTTATGGAATGTGATTGTCCTCGTCCCATAGATTCTGTTGGCAATGCTGAGGGAATTCATTTGGTTGATTTGGGATAGCAGAGCTCCAAATTCAGAATACTTCCTTCCACCTTGGCTGCACTGGCAGCCGTGAACAAAGAAAAGTGATTGGTTCTTTGCCACTGAAGAATTATAAATAATGAAAGGAAAATATCTGCAGATCAAGATTTTTGCCTTTCAATAAACAGCAGTGAACACAAAGAGATGAACTGCTCAAGCATTTTACTTGACTTCTTTTAGCAAAATGATCTCAGCAGATTGTTTACAGACTCAACAGTATTACTTGCTCCTCCTAAGAGTTTAAATCAGAAGCTTAAGCTTTCATGAACAAAGAGATTCTAATGCAAATTCTGTGGCTGCCTCTGTATTTATATTTCTACGTTCAATGCTCAGTCTTTTTATTCTTTCATATATATAAATATATAAAATACATATATATTTGACTGTCTGTTACTTATATTTTATGCATTGTGTGATCATATTCCACTGTCATCTCTTAAATGACATGAAAGATGTGTTACATGTGTTTAGGTTGTGGAATATTTCTTTAATTGTGTAAAGGTATGTTGCATTTGCTTACTAATGTAAAGATGTGTTACATTCATTCATGCTGTATTTGTTTAGATTCTTGTTAACCCCTTCTTCCCAATTAGTGGGCATGGTCTTACTAGGTAGCCCTGACTTGAATTCATTATGTGTACCAGTCTGGCATTGAACTTGCCAAATCTCCTCCTGCCTCTGCCTCCTAATTCCTGAAATTACAAATATGAACCACCACAGCCAACCAATGTTTCAGTTTTCTAAATGACTATTTAAACAAACTCTTCAGCCTTCACTAATAAGATCTAATATATTCACTTGCTTTATGCAGTAGCAATTCTGCAAAGTTTACAAATGTCATACATATGACTTATGATTAAGAATTCATTGATGCCATCCAAAGAGGTGATGTCTACATTTCCTAAACAATGGTTCCTAATAAATAGGGTTTCTGAAAAGGTTTCGATTGTGTGTGTTGTAGAATATTTAACTGTGTAAAGATGTGGTACATTTACTTATGCTGTGGAATATTACTTTAATTGTGCAAAGGTGTGTTGTATTTGTCTAATGATGCAAGCATGTATACTTTCATTTATGCTGTATTGTTTATATGAAAAGATGTGTTGCTCTTGTTTCACCTTGCTTGCCTAAGGCATCTAAATGGTCTAATAAATGACCATTTAATAAGTATATCTAATTGAAACATTGAATGGCCAAGAGCTAGGTCCAGAGAGAGATAGGTGGGGCTGGCAAGCAGAGAGAATAAGTAGGATGAGAACTCTAGGTTCAAGAAGGGCAATAGAAGGGGAGAGAAGGAGGAAGAGTGGGAGATGTCTAGGGTCAGCGAGAGCTACTAGTCAGCAGACACAGAGTAGAACATACAGAAAGAAAGGTAAAAAAGCCCTGAGGCAAAATGTAGAAAAAGAGTTAAGTTATAAGAGCTAGCAAGAAATGAGCCCAATCTAGGCCAAGCACTCATAACTAATGTTAAGTCCCCATGTCCCAATTTGGGGACTGGTTGGTGGGCCTAAAAAAAAAAAATCTCCCTCTCTCTCTGTCTCTGTCTCTTTCTCCCCCCCCCTCTCTCTCTCTCTCTCTCTCTGTGTGTGTGTGTGTGAGAGAGAGAGAGAGAGAGTACATTTATTCATATACCCAAGCACTATTACAAATGCTACCATGTGAGAATTCTAAGTAAATGAGTGAATTGCTCCTTTGACAATAGTGGGAACCATTGTCTCAAAGAACATGGATGGTGCTACATCAGGCAGCCCTTTGTCAGTAGCTCTTAGTGGACTAACAAAACTACATGCATGGGTGAGTCTGACAGACTCAACAGCAGGCAAAAGCACAGAACAGAAACGTTTGCATGAAGATGACAATGATTAGTTTAACAATTTGGATGGGAAGGCATTGCTGCTGTCATTACTACTGGGTGCTAAACTCAGTCCCCTGCAGTGGTTATTAAGAAGATGATTGGGGACTACAGACAGAGCTGTCTTTCTCACAGACCCAAGAGAGGGTTCCACTCCTCTACTCCTGAACTATGATTTGGGGTTTTTTTATTAATTTTTTTTTCATTTATTTTACATCCCAACCAAAGTTTCCCCTCCCTCCTCTCCTCCTGTTCCTTCCACCTTCCATCTACCCCCACACCCACTCCTCCTCCATTTAAAAGAAGCAAGCCTTCCATGGGAGTCAACAAAACATGGTCTATCAAGTTGTAGCAGGATCAAGCTCCTCCTGCTGCATGAAAGCTGGGTGAGGCTCCCGGCATGGAGAATAGATTCCCAAAAGCAATGGACTATGATTTCTTGATTTCTTAGAGTACGTGATATCTCAGTAATGATATCCTCATACCTCATAAAAGTCCTTCATCTTTGGTTTTAAGAATTCTGAAAAGTTGTCATAGTGGAGCACCTAGGAAAAGAAAAGAAGTCAACTAAAAAAAAAAATAAATAAAATAAAAGAAAAGAAAAGAAAAGAAGTCAACTGGTCACAAAAGTAATGTGTAAACTATAACGCCTGAGAGCTGTGATCACTCTTCCATTTCCGACCAAGACCACTAGTGATAGATAACATGCGATAATGTTATGTTTCAAGTCCTGAGTTAAATCTTTGGGCATCTTATTTAACCCTCCCAACAACTTCATTGATAATTAATACTATTTCTATTTTATGTTAGGGAGACTGAGATCAAAAGGGTGGTCGGGCAGGTTCTAGGAGCTGAACTCCATTGCTGCAGCCACTCTGCCCTTTTTCTACCCTTCAGGCCTCCATGTAGAGCACTGCCTATAGGGAGCCCTGAACAAACGGCTTCCCGGTAAAGTTAAAATATGCAACTACCCTAAGAGTTGTCAGGAGGGATTTTTCTAGAAATTTCAGTAATAAAAACGATTTAAAAGACCCTGGTAGCTGGTGTCATGTGACAGATCACCTTTCCTTTGTTCTCCTGGTTGTAAAATGGAGTTGACAATCTCTGTCTGCTAACAGGATAGTCCTGAAGAAACTTAGTAATAAATTCCTTTTTTAAATTTTATTTAAAATGGTGTGAGGATTTAGAGTTTAAAATTTTTAGAAGGAAAGAATAGCACCACACATGTATTCTCTATTACATTAAAGGCACCAAAATAAAAGTTACTGCAGAATGCCTTAGATATAAAAGAAGTTATGTGTTGTATTGACTTGCATTAAATTCTGTTATTTAAAACTTTTTGACTTTCTCAGAAATATGACTTATCTAAGTATGCCTTTTCATTTCACAAGATGGTATTTTTATAAATAAAACTTGATAAACAAGAGGTGGGAACATGAAAATACCTGGGTTCTGGGGACGTTCTCCTCCAACCCTTACCTTTTCCATTTGTTCAGCACTCTTGCCTCTGGCACCCAGCAGGAGCATGCTCAGAGCATAGAACACAGTGAGTGGAGAAAAGAAGATATTTTCTCCCGCATTGCTACTGCTTAGCTCTTTGAACACATCAAGGCAAAATTCAGCATTCGCTGTGGTGATAGGATTCATGATTTACCAAGCGATGCCTAAGAACAGAGAAGAAATGATTCAGTCCTTGTGTGCTTACCATCTATGCTTTCAGACATCCCCTTCCTGTAGTCTGTGTACCAAATGCTTATGCTCCACAAACTCGAACAATTGTTTTCCCACCAGACTGCCCACATTCATAAGCCTCACAAGACAGAGTGTCACCTTTCCACTCCGTTCTGTACAAGCAACCTGACACTTGCCACAGGTTTCTCCCCATCTTGGCACAGTCTTCCAAGAATGTGAAGTAAATCTAGAAAGGTGACCAAAGCTCCCCACTCAGTCAGAGCCATGGCATCAGTGAAAATGAAGGAACTAAAAAGAAGCACCTGAGAGAAGAAAAGATTATGCTGGAGAATGGGATACTTTAGGGAAAGAGTGTGTTGGGACCGAAAGTTCAGTCCTAGAAACATCACTAGAGCACTAAGAGTACTGAACTGCAGAAAGAGCAATCAGCAAGAGTAGTTCCCAGCCACTGGGAGACTGTATTCTTCATAGGGTTCATTGCCCACAAACGCTCTTTTGCTTTGTCTTCCTGGTGGTCACTCTCCTTTAATCCACTGCCTGCCACCTGGGGAACCCCTCTGTCTCCTACTCAGGATCTTTCAGCATTGCTAGTCTTGGTTCATCATACGTCTCCAGGATTCAGATCTGAATCTTCCTTACCTTTACACTCACACTCCCGGTGACTTCATGCCAGGTCATGCTCAAACATCGCCAACACATTGAAAGGTCTTTGTTAGAGATTGAATATAAAATGTGCCCTCACGGACTCCTGAACTGAACAAACAGTCTCAAGCTGGTAGAACTCCCATGGGAGATTCTGGAAATGTTAGGTAGGACCTATCTTGAGAAACTAGGTCACTAAGTGTATGAACTTGGAGCTTTTCATTTTTTCTCCCTCTTCCTCTCCCTCCCCATCTCTCTGAACCTCTTCCTTCCTTCCCTCCCTTCTTCCTTCTATACTTTGACCTATTCTACCATTCCTTCATCATGTTAGACTAAGTTTTCTGAAACTCCGAGGCAAATGAAACTCTTTCTTTATATTTGCTTCCCCAGACATGGTTACAGCTAAAAGCAAAGCTGACTCTCAAATTTAGGCTGCCCCTCAATTCTAGACCCATATATCCGACAACACACTCAACAAGTTTACTTAGATGTCCGATGGGTCCTTCAGACATGTCGGGACATAAAGCAAACCATTGGTCCCTCGCTCTTCTACCTCGCCTTCTCCCTCACAGCTTTCTTCATTTCTGTAACCCTTGATTCCACTTTCCTATTTTTCACACTAATAACTTATAGGATCTTCTTTACTGCTTTCTCCTTATTTGCCTTCAATCTGTGAAATATTTTCTTTCCTACACTTTCAAAAATGGTCAAAGTCACCTTCTCTGGTTTTACCACTTTGGTCAAAGCTTCCATTGTCCCTCCCCTGCAATAGTGAAATGCTTTCCTCTCCTGACTGCCTTCTCTTTCTTTCTGTCCTTTGTGTTGTTTTCTAGAGAAGCAAGAGTGATGTCACTTCAGCGTCAGATGCTCGTGGTGCTCTGTACTCGGCATTATCAGAACCTTCCCATCCTCACAAAGAAGCCAAATCTTGCCGAAACAAGCGAGGCTCTCTGGCCTTCTCAGACCTCACCATAACCGCACTGCACTGACTCTCTACCATTTCCATCCATTGAATAAACCAAGTGTGTTCCACCATGGGTCTCTACGTTGTTTATCTCTCCTCTGAGATAGCTTTTCTGCCAGTGCTCACATGGCTTACTATGGCAGCTCATTTCCCTCTCTCTTCAGGAAGGCACCCTATTAATAAGTCTCTTCCTGGTGATCCCCTTTGAAAACTCAGTCCACACACCCACATCAGATCTCTCCAATTTGCTTTTCTTTCTAGAACATACCACCTGACTCATTACATATGAAAAATTTTAATCTGACCTACTCCTTAGCATACTGGCTCATTAGATCATGAATTTCCTTTTGTTTTCACTGATGGACATATAGAAGCCCCTGCATAAATATCTGTGAAAGAAGTGAAGGGGGGATTTTAATCTGGTAAGTATAGCAATATACAGGTATGCACAGAATCTACCCAGAGAGGAACAGCCCCCTCCTGTTTCTTGAAGAATAGAAGGAAAGTCTTCCAGGAAAGTGCAAGTAAAAAGAATATTCCTAAGAAAAGCAACAGGTGAAAAGACACTAACATGCTTGAAAGAGAAGTTTATATATCAAGGAAATGAACTAGAAAGACAAAAGCCCATGCTTTTTCAGACCCGGGCCAGCGGGCCTTGGTGAGTTCCCAATAGAAATCTTTAATAATTAATTAATTAATTTAAAAAATAAATAAAATGAAAAAAAGAAAGACAAAAGCCATGGGAAGTGGGGATGGAGACAATAAGGGTGTGTCTTTGGAGCACACATGGCCTGCTGAGATGGCTCAACATGGAGTGGAGTTGCTGGGTCATCCAGTTAGTGTTTACCATCTCTGTGACCTTCTTATGCATCTTTCTAAAGTCTTCTGAATGTTTCCCCTCCTGCTCCCCAGAGAGCATGTTTGTAGATGTTGATTACCTACCATCAGCAAGAGGACTGGCTGCAAGCACACTCCATGTGTGCTTAAGTGGAGGCTTTCTGCTTCCTGGTTCCCAGAAGCAATTCCTAATTGCCAAACCAATTAAGACAATTCTCCATTCCACGACAGTGAGTGGCTTAGGACTCAGAAACTTCTGGAATCCCTGCTAAGGGAAACTTTCCATTGAAGAAGGTTAAGAAGACACCTATAGGAGAATCTACTTCCTTTCAGAACTGTGCTCTCTACATGTGGTTGCCAATGAAGTAGCTATTCATGGACACAAGGTAAATACTCAGGGAGGAAGCCCAGGATGCTAGAGGAGAAAGATGGGGAAACCTAAGTCCTCAATGATTCACCACAGCCTTGGATCTATCCTGCTTTAGGATTTCTTGCCATGTCATATGAAAGCTTTATATTGCTATTTTTTTTTACACAAGAATAATGAAGTCTCGTTTATTTATCATTTTCCCTTCATTGTGGGACAAATGGTGGTGCCCACCGTGCTTTTATTCTGTCTCTGACCCCAGTGTGCACTCTGAGCAGAGAGAAACCAAATCTCAGTCTTTTACTTGACCTGGAGATGAGAAAGGGACACAAGAAAAAGGGGCTTCTTTGAAACTCAGATGCCTATTGAGTCCTCAAGAGTGCAACGCCTTTGCCCTCAAGGCTCTGTTAATAGAGAATCCTGAGGTGTGCGGAAGGATTTTATAATGGCTACAAGTCCTGAGTTAGAGGAGCCAAAGCTAGAGATGCTACCACACACTATGATTCTCCAGGGCCTTGGAAGCTGAGGGTCCTAATGATGAGATTAATAGTAGATGGCATGGGTCTTGGCAAGCCCTCCCTCCGTGCTCCAATCTCAGTTAACAGGAATTTCCAGCCATGATGGAGACCGTGCCTTTTCTTGGCTACTGGTGCCTCATTCCCTTTTTATGATTTTCTAGTGCAGCCTGGTGTAAGATGAAAGCAGTGATGTAGCAAACAGACCTGCTCATCTTCTCAATGAAAATACAGCAATATTTTCATCCACCAAGAGTTGGTCTGAAACTTAAATTAGTCATACATAAAGTACCTATTAAGATATCAGCAAATACTATGACTGATAAAATAAAAACTGATAGTTATTTTGTTGTTGTTGTATATTACTTAATCTTCCTGAAAACTACCTAATATAGCTTCAATATTTTCCCAACTACAGGGAATAAAACAGGCTCAGCAGAGCTTTAGTAGTTTTCCAAAGTTGATGTGGCGGAGCTGGCACTCAAATTTTCAAACATTTTTTAATGGTTATAAGGGGAAACTCATGCCACAAGAGTGGGAAGTCTGGCTTCCTATCTGTCCGGCAGAAGCCATGCATAGAGAACACACACCTGGGTCCTCCCAGTTTTTCTTCCTGGGCTCCAGGTAGCCGCACCTTAACTAGATGTGATTGGTTGACAGAGTTTTCCCATCAGTATGATTGAGCATCTTTTGGGTATATGCCCGAGTGGTATTGTTGGATCCTGAGGCAGGTTGATTCCCAACTTTCTGAGAAACTGCCATACTGATTTCCAAAGTGATTGTACAAGTTTGCATTCCCACCAACAATGGATGAGTGTTTCCCTTACTCCACATTGTCTCCAGCATAACATCATAATATAATATCATCATAGCCCTTCTGAGTGGTGTAAAATCATTTCTCGGAGTTGTTTTGATTTGCATTTCCCTAATGGCTAAGGATGTTGAACATTTCTTTAAGTGTCTTTCTGCCATTTGAGATTCTTCTGTTGAGAATTCTCTGTTTAGTTCTGTACCCTGTTTTTAATTGGATTATTTGGAATTTTGATGTCTAATTTCTTGAGTTCTTTATATATTCTGGAGATCGGTCCTTTGTCTGATGTGGGATGGTGAAAATCTTTTTCCAGTCAGTAGGCTGCCTTTTTGTCTTATTTTCTGTGTTCTTTCCTTTACAGAAGCTTCTCGGTTTCAGGAGGTCCCATTAATTTATTGTTGCTCTTAGTGTCTGTGCTACTGGGGTTATGTTTAGGAAGTGGTCTACTGTGCCCATGCATTGAAGGCTACTTCCCACTTTCTTTTCTGTCAGGTTCGGTGTGGTTGGATTTATTTATATTGCTATTTTAAGGAAAAGTTTCAGTTGAAGTTTCTGTTTCTTGCAGCTAAAAGCATCACCACTTACTTTAGGAACTTTTATTACCCCTTGTCCCCTAACACCAACAAGGACACCTGCTAACACTCACATGCTCCTTTTTTTTTTCTATTCATTTTTTGATTTATTTTTTAAGTCTTTTCTCATTTTACATACCAATAACAGTTCCCACTCCCTCCCCTCCTCCCACTCCTTCATCTTTCCGCCACTGCACCCCCATGCACTCCTTGGAGCAGATAAGGCTTCCAAGGGGAATCAACAAAA